GTGTGAGTGAAAGAGTGAGTGAGTGAGAGTGAGTGAGTGAGTGAGAGAGAGAGTGAGTGAGTGAGTGAGTAAGTGGGTGAGTGAAAGAGTGAGTGAGTGAGTGAGAGAGTGAGTGAGTGAGTGAGTGAGAGAGTGAGTGAGTGAGTGAGTGAGTGAGTGAGTGAGTGAGTGAGTGAGTGAGTGAGTAAGTGTGTGAGTGAAAGAGTGAGTGAGTGAGTGAGTGAGTGAGTGAGTGAGTGAGTGAGTGAGAGAGAGAGTGAGTGAGAGAGAGAGTGAGTGAGTGAGTGAGTGAGTGAGTGAGTGAGTGAGTGAGTGAGTGAGTGAGAGAGTGAGTGAGTGAGTGAGTAAGTGTGTGAGTGAGAGAGTGAGAGAGTGAGTGAGTGAGTGAGTAAGTGTGTGAGTGAGTGAGTGAGTGAGTGAGTGAGTGAGTGAGTGAGTGAGTGAGTGAGTGAAAGAGTGAGTGAGTGAGTGAGTGAAAGAGTGAGTGAGTGTGTGAGTGAGTGAGTGAGTGAGTGAGTGAGTGAGTGAGTGAGTGAGTGAGTGAGTGAGTGAGAGAGTGAGTGAGTGAGTAAGTGTGTGAGTGAAAGAGTGAGTGAGTGAGTGAGTGAGTGACAGAGAGAGAGAGAGGGAGAGAGAGAGAGAGAGAGGGTGGAAAACAGTTGTGTAAAAGTAGGGGAGAGCGGGGCACAACCTAACGCTTTTAGACTTTCTCAGTTTGTGTAAATCTACTTAAGGTTCAGAGTATTTTTTTATTCCCCTTTATTAATTTCTCACTTCTAGTACAATTTTATGGTTTTGTTTCATTAATACAGTGTATACTTTATTCTTGATTTACCCTGAAATAATGGAAGTGAAATGTGACAACATGCCCCACAGCTGGGGTTCATAATCACATGACCATGATGAATTAAAATGTTATCTAATCTAATCACAAAAATATACAAGACAAACTAAAATATTTTTTCAATACAATACAATTATAATTTTTTTTTATATAAAATAATGATTTTTTTTAATAATTAAAAATGTAAAAAAAAAAAAAAAGAGTTTGACAACAAACACCGCGAAACACAGCTATACAGCATAGTTCAAAACATATTAATAACTAATCATTTCTGAACATTGACTCTCAGTCTTTATTCACCTTTTTCTCATGTTGTCTCAATAGAATTCATAAAAGTATAGAATATAATATCATAGTTCATTGTAACGCAGTGTGACAACATGCCCCGCCTGAGCAACTGGTGTTTAAACCCGGCGAGTGTTTCTGCTGTTAGCGAAGCATTAAACAACTATCTCATTGTTAAATAACAGATATAAGATTAAAATAATATCAGATTTGTCTCATTTTAAATAAACACAAAAAAAATTCAGTAAGAAATGTACATTTGCAATAGTTAAATAAATGTTCAGCGATATCTCAAATATGTATAATTTTGGCACATTTTTCCTCTATATAGTGTTGATATGGCAACTAATAAAGTTTCGTCATGCTGGCGTGTGTGGAAAGCTCCATGTGTGTTAGTTTGTGCCTCGCTCGCCCATATATTATGTCCATTTACAGTATTTAACACACATATCTGATGCATTTGGCAGACGCTTTTATCTAAAGTGACATTCAAAGTATAAATGTACCGTGTGTGTTCCAACGAGTCCCGTGTTAGTGTGTGTCTTGCATTGCATGTGTGAGTGTTTAACCCTTTGGTCTCAGTCGTGGTGTGTCCCAGTATCGGCTCCTTCTCGCTGGATCACGGCAAGTGGAGGATCGTCAACGGCTCTCGCTACGAGTTCGGCACGAGGGTGGCCTTCGCCTGCAACCCGGGCTTCTTCCGGCTCGGCCCCGCACACATCCACTGCACGTCCAACGGCACCTGGAGCTGGAGGAACGAGAGACCTCGCTGCAAGAGTGAGTGTGTGTTGCTCTGTGTGTGTATCATGACTTGCACAGCTCCCTGGTCTTGTTAGGCTGGCTGGTCTTTAAGGTCAGACTGCTGGACTAATGATTTGTCAATTGTGTGCTGAAGTGTGAAGGATTAGCAGTGTGTGTTGCGCTCAGTCACGCTAAATAGCACACATTGTGTTTATCCTGCACTTTATACGCGAAAATGAGTTTTTACGTGCATATGATACGCATGGGTTTAGTAGTGGTGTGGGGTGTGTGTGTATTACACGCAATAAATTGTGTTTCATATGCACGTAAAAACTAATTTTTGCGTATAATTTGCAGGATAAACACAATGGGTCTCATTCATGAAACATTCGTAAATATAGGAGTAAATATGAGAGTGATTCCGAAAACTCTTCTCCTGATTCACAAATACTTCGTAAACGTCAGATGTGATAGTGAAGTGTGTGTGTGTGTGTGTGTTAATGAAGTCCAATCAGTCGTAAATGGGACGCGCGTGCACGCTCATTCTCAATTACCATAAATCCCGCCCATTAAATCTGATTTCAACAAACACATTTCAACATGTCTTCTCAAAAGCGAATGAAAAAGAAAAATTTCTCAGATGCAGAAATTGAAGTTTTATTATCAAAAGTTCATTCAAAACACCACATTTTATTTTTAAGCGTAGCCTACATGGCGTATCGGGTCCTTGGCAGCATATATTACAGATGCAGTTAGTGGAGTTTCATCTGCTAATCAAACAGTCCCAGAAGTAAAAAGAAAAACCGTATGTAATTACTATATATAATATTTGTTCAAAATGCTGTGTAAATATGTAGGTCTACCCGATTAAGGTGAATTAAAATGCAGCCTTAGTTATTAATGAGCAAAACGTTCGGATGTTAAACGCACTATTTGCGTTTAGAGTGAGTGTAGATTTCTTTCTTAGGGTGTATTCACACCAGGAAAGTCCGATAGTTCACTTGCTTTGGTCCGGACCAAATAAATTTTTTTTTTTTTTTTGGTACGGTTCGCTTTCACACTGCTCTTTTTGCAAGTGAACCAAAATTTGTAAACAAAACCACACGTGTGCTAAGGTCGTCCATTCATTGGACAAGGATTCTCAAGTAGGGAAATCAGGAAGTGCAAAAAAAGCTCAGCATGGAGATATTTCGTACTGCAATATTAGTTATTTTACTAATTTTGTGTTATTCTGTACAAACGCAATATGAAGAAACTGCGCAGAAGACGGATAAGGTATAAAGTTTTGATTCATAGAGAGGGGCTATGTTCACACATTCAAATAATGAGATTCTTATTATATATACTGCTATCAAGTGCTGTCAATGTAAACGCTTGCGATTAAGTTTGTCCAGTTTAACGCAGCGTCATCCTTGTATTGTAACTATCGTTACATTATATGAACTGCAAAAGCTTTTTTTTGCATCTATGCGCGATTAGACTAAAGAGAACGCGCTGTATGTGAATGTCCCGATGCACACACTCTTTCATTCATTCCATTCCAATGACGCACACACACGACGCGCAGAAAGACGCGCCACAGTATCGTGTGGCCAGACAGCGCGCCGGAATGGAATTCTCTTTCGCACTTGAACAACAATAACACAAACCATTATGCCAAAATCTCCGACTACGGAAGCCTGTTAACTCAAAGGCGCAGTGCTTTCTTGCAATTGGGTCGGTTCATGTTCACACCGTAAACGAACCGTACCAGACTTCGTTTGGAAGCGTACCGAGACACCTCTTCAGCTGGGTCTGGGTTCGGTTGTTTGGTCCGCACCCGAGTTCGATTGCTGTATTCACACCTGCCCAAAAGGTCCGACCAAGGGGGGAAACGAACTAGAGTTCGATTCAATCGAACCAGACAAGGCAGCTGTGAATACACCCTTAGATTTCTTTCGTACCAACTAACATTTGGAAAATACAAACATTTTAATGAATCCGAAAATTTACGCCAGAACCACTTTACACTAGCCTGGTTAAAACCAGAGCATTCTCAGTTGTAACCGAGTTATGGTCTGGCAAAGCGTCATAGACAAATCATTTCCAGAGGGGCGTCACCAACGGGCGTCGCGGATAGACCTAAACCAATCAGAGCGATGAAGGAGATGACGTATGCAGAGCGGCGGAGACACATCTCCGAGTGTTGTTCTTTGCTCGGTTTTTAACTAAAAGGAAACGTTCAAATGGCTTAAAACAGACGCGATAGCTGATTGGAACGAGTGATGTTCGACGGCGGCATCCATCTTTGTAATGTAGGCTACAAAATCTGCTTCAAAATCCCAGCGCTGTCGTCATCGTGTAAAGCCCACCCCGACGCTTCTGATTGGTGCCGCGATTTCGGCGGATTGGAAATGGGCTTGAATGAGCTCTTTGCCAGACTAACTTTCAGAGCAAATCTAAATTTGCCGGAAGTTGTCTGGGTTTTCCCCGGCTAACTTTACACACGATTTACACACAAATTCGTTCTGCTGGTGTTTCATGAATGAGACCCATTGTGTTTATCCTGCACTTTATGCGCAGAAATTAGTTTTTACGTGCATATGATACACATGGGTTTAGTAGTGGTGTGGGGTGTGTGTGTATTACACGCAATAAAGTGTGTATCATATGCATGCTAAAACTACGTTTCATTTGCACGTAAAAACTCATTTTCGCGTATAAAGTGCAGGTTAAACCCAATGCGCGCTATAGATACACACTTTCACTCCAGCATTTATATTAGGGGGAAAGCATTACAATAAAGTAGCAAAGTAATTATGGAAATGGATTCTGAAGCAACTGGTAAAGTCACAAAATATAATCCATTACTTGGAATTTAGAGCTGCAAAAACAAAAAAATCTAATATATATAACATACATATATTGCATTTTTGATGTGATGTTCCAAAATCCACATAAAAATATGTGGATGAAACCTAATGATGCTTTATGGATTTTATAATTTTCATTTAGCCGCACTGGGAATTATGGGAAATGTTTTCTGTTTGCACAAGCATCTCTCCTCATAATCCTTGTAAATGAATAGAATTATCCCGCAAGCTGTTATAGCTAACGGTAAACAAACTTCATACGACTCTCTGAACATACAAATTTTGACATAATAATTTGCTTCTACTTGCTTGAATGAGTATTAAAATCCTCGTAACACTTTCTATGAAGACCATGAATTATAGCTCCATTTATACTTATTTATAAGTATTACTAAGTATGTGCATTGAAAAAGCAAATGCATGAGTTATAAGTAATTATAAAAAATCATATAAATGTAACTATAACTGTTCTTATAATGCAGTATAGGTCGTTATGAGTCTTTATAAATATATTTATAGAATAGTAATATTTACTTATAAATAAGTATAAATGGGGCTATAATTCATTATAAGCATGGGCTTCTTAGAAAGTGTTCATTTTAATATTCATTTAAGCAAGTGGAAGCAAATTAGTATGTGTCATACTTTTTAAAAATTTAAGTTGGGAATGTTGAGTCGCATGAAATATAATAATAGATAATTCTATTAATTTTGATGGATTATGAGGCGAGAGGTTTTCAAACAGAAAACATTTCCCATAATTCCCAGTGCGGCTGCATGAAAATTAAAAAATGCATAAAGCATCATTAGGTTTCATCCACATATTTTTATGTGGATTTTGTAACATTGCATCAAAAATGCAATATATGTATGATTTTTTTTTTTTCAGCTCTAATTGCAAGTAATGTATTATATTGTGTGACTTTCCCAGTTGCATCAGATTTTGTTGCAAGGCTTTTTAATTTAAATAGTTTTTATAAAATTGATTTCTATTTAAATTTGTTACATGAAGTACACTTCTTGGTATCATTTGCAGGTTACCATACAATGCAAAAGCATTTTTTTAAAAGCATGCATTTGTATTAATTACAAATTGTAACTGAAAGTAATTGCTCTAAGGCTTTATCTGGTGACGTTCAGCTTCAGGAAACAAACGTAGCCTTGTGCATCCTCCTCTTTAACACACAGTTTAGGAGCCCGAGTAAACCCGGGTGTGTGTTACTCTCACAGTCTGTCCTCAGCATCTGCTGGCCTCAGATGGGTGCGTTATCAATGTTGTGTGTCTGCTGTAACTACAGTCGTGATGAATGTGTTTATGAGAGCCACAATCTAAACATTAGCGGCGCTTTATGACTGATGGCGTCTGACGGGATCCTGGCGAGAACCATTTTCAAACACAACACCAGTCGGAGGGAAGATGATGAGGAGTTGAGAACAGATGAAGTGATGATGTCGCTGTGGTAAACACATATATATGTATCCCAGATCTGCTCAAATCTCCTGCTTCTGACTGTGTTTCTGAGGATTTCGGCTCGATATGAATGGAGTTTAGGAAGCTACAACTTCCCAGGACACAAGCGATCATGCTGAACTTTAGCTAGATGTCACTAGTCCGTTACTATAGGACATGGTAAAATGGTTGAGTTAAAGAGGATGTTTTTAAACGCAACAATCGGATCATTTATGTTTCTGTAACATCATAAAGTGATCAAACAAAAGCTTACACTGCAAAAAATATATATTTTAGTCTACTTTTCATTCACAAATATCTAAACATTCTTAAATCAAGATTGATCAGCTAAACGACAAGTGATCAAATGATCAAAATTAAATGACTTAATGTGAGAATTAATTAAGTATCTGCTTAATTTAAAGTGTATTTTTCTTACACCACTGCAGATATCTCATTTTAAGCATAAGCTGACTTCATTTTGATATTGTTTTTTCAGAAAACAAGACTTAATATCTTGTCGTTTGTCTAATCTTGATTCAAGTATGTTTAGATATTTGTGATTGAAAACAAGACACTATTAGTAGTGTCATTTTAGTTTTTATTATAGTTTTATTCATATTGTATATAAACTTTTATATAAATAATATTTTATTAAATATTTTTTTGTTTATATTGTAGTTTTCGTGTTACTTTTAGTTTAACTTTTAGCTTTTGTAAAAAAAATGTTGTTGAAATGTTGCTATTTAGGTTTAATTTATTTTTATTTCAGTTTTAGTTTTGATTTATTTCCAGATAATAATTTCAGTGCTTCAACTTAAACTTATTTCAGTTCAAAATTGCCAAGACAACATTTCTAACATTTTCGATTAGTTTAAGTTTCAACCAATATTTATAAACATAATATTTATGTGATTTTATTTCAGTTTTTAGTTTTAGTGAACGATAATAAATGACTAAGGAACACGTGTTTTTGCAGTGTGCGTGTGCTTTAGTTAGTCTACTAAATCTATCCAGTGCAACTTAAACCTGGTAAACGTTTGTAATACTGAGACGACGAGATGTCGTGTGCATCATCCACTGCTGTTTCTAAATCACAGTCGACTCATTGTGTTCTCTATTGCCTCTTACTTCAGTCATTTCGTGTGGAGAGCTGCCCACTCCTCCTAATGGAAAGAAGATTGGGACACAGACGACCTTCGGAGCAACCGCTATATTTACCTGCAACTCGGGCTTTATTCTGGTGGGCTCGAGTGTTCGGGAATGCCTGTCCTCGGGTCTCTGGAGCGGGACAGAAACACACTGTCTCGGTAACACCACAACCCTCGTCTCTTACACAACATCTCCATGCATTAGCATCGCTGTGACCTTTTAATGCACACGGCTCCTGAAAGGCCAGGACGGGTCCAGTGGCATTTAGTCTGGATTCCCATAGCAACCGTGGTTTTAATATTTTAATATTTTTTTGCATGCACTTGTATCCTCACATGCAGAGTTAGTGAGCATCATTATTATTCCTTCTTAGAGCCGGGTTTGACCTTGACAGAAATAGCTATCCCATAAAATATTGCGGTGTTTCTCAGTCGGGGAAAAAAGCCGTCTTAGGTGAGGGAAATGTTGAGAGGGTTAAATGTCATTTAATATGTATAAGAATCCCTTATTCATCCAAAGTGACTCAAGATATGCATCTTCATGTTTTTCCTGCACTGGGAAAAATATAGTTACATTCACAGTTAAGAAACGGCACGTGTGGTTGCCACAGATTCACCTTAAAGTGCGCCTTTTATGCTTTTTCAAATATTATCTTTCATGCCGTGTGTAATACAGCTGTTTGTGAATGTAAAAGATCAAAGTGCACGACAAATAAAGTTATCGTCTCCTAAAAGAAAGAAGTGATTCTGAACTGCTGAAACGAGTCGAGATCCTGTTACAATGTAACTAATTTGCATAATGCCCGTCCTATGGTCCTGATTGGCTGAACAGCGTCTCTAAGCCCCGCCCTCAAACACTAGTGTATCTGAGACGGGAAGAGTTCGGTTCGTGTTGTTCGTGTCGAGAAGACGCTGTTTTCTGCTGACAAAGCAAATCCACTGTGATGAGATTGATACGGTGAAACCCACACTTTATATCACTGGGGAAAACTCAGATGTTAATAAACATTTAGTTTCCGAAATGCGCTGTAAGCAGTCGACCAATCACAACAGACTGGGCCATCTGGCCAATCAGAGCAGAGCAGCTCTCAGAGAGGCGGAGCTTAGAGAGACTGAATCTTCAAACTAACCGTTTCAGACTCTTCGAGACAATAGGTGATGTTCACTGTATATTAGAGAGAATTAAAGTGTTTTTTGAACTTGGATGCTTTTAAACCTGTTGTACGAGACTCCGAAACAACATTAGGAAACTTTAAAATAGGGGCACTTTATAAAAATACGGTGACAATGTTTCAGGTATTACAGGATGGCAAATTGATCCCTGTATATTTCGGAACTTATAACCATGTGAGTGATATAATGTCAATATACCAATATACTAAAATGTACTCATAACCATCATAATAATTCAGGTAGTGCAGTAGAAATCCATTCAGGGTTCATTGTCAGTGGAAAATGACCAATATTCATGTACAGTGTCACACACACAAAGACAAAACTTAGGGATTTACCAAACCAGCTGAGGAGAATCACAACACTACACACTTTGTTTTAAAGCAAAACGTATTTGTAAATCAGACAAAGATACAAGAACTGAACAGCTTTAGTGAGGGAAAGAACGACTAATTAACAATAAAAGTTGGTTATATGTATAAAAACAATATAATTTAAGTGTATTGCAAAATATATACAAATATTGAAGTATTTTGAGAGCGTAGGGAGATCGACGACTCGATAAGATGGAAGTGGGCGGAGCTAAAGAGACCTTTTGGCATGTGTTGACTCTGATTGGTGGGATTTTCTATACAGCATCATGGGTAATGTAGTTTTTCACCACAACAGGATTATTTTAAAACTAAGTTGAACTGATGGCGTCTGACGGCTTCGGCAGAAGATGAAGCGAGAGAAGGCAGAGGTGAAGAAGGGATGTCTCTGCAGACGTCGAGCGGACTCGATGCTCTGTGAAGTGTGTCGGCCTCTGCTGAGTTCTGTCATCACTCAGATCCGAGAGCCAAAACCCTGACAGATCTCCACTCGCCATCTCTCTTTCTCTCGCTTCACGTCGTCTCGGAGTAAAACAACCCTGCGCATTACTTTGTCCACCGAAAGAGTCTCAAATGCGTGGATATTGCCGTATCTGTTGTGTGATTGAACACTCGTTCTCTGTGGGTGGATCATGAATATCTCTGTCACGATGTGATTTACACAAGTATACAGTAGGACTCGGTCCTGCCATAACATTCATATCAAATCACAGGCTGATCTCCGCATGGGAACTTTAACAGCGATTCTCATTCCGCTTAAAATCTTTACTTATCCATCAGAGACTCTTTATGGGATTTTGAGGAACGAGGAACCGTATCAGTTTTATTGCATTTATTACCCTCAGTGATAAAACATATTTAACATAATTAATCAAGTAAAGACTAAGAAACAAAGTCCAAGCAATAAATCAAATATATAAACCGTTCAAAATACTTTTTAATGTCTTTTTAGGCTCTTCTGCTCACCAAAGCTGCATTTATTTGAGCAAAAATACAGTAAAAACAGTGAAATATTATTTTAATGTAAATCAGCTGTTTTCTGTGTGAATATACAGTAAAGTGTAATTTATTCCTGTGATTTTCAGCATCATTACTTCAGTCTTCAGTGTCACATGATCCTTCAGAAATCACTCTAATATGAGGATCTGATGCTCAAGAAACATTTATGATTATTATCAGTGTTGAAAACTATTTTTGTGGAAACGGTGATGAATTTTGTCATTGATGAATTGAAAGAACTATATTTATTTGAAATAATAGAATATTTTGAAACATTATATATTTATTTAATGCACTTTTGATAAATTTTTTAACACAAATTTGTGTATATATTGGTGCATTTCACAAAAGGTGCACTTATAGTCTTTAATTCAATCACAGGGAACTACAGTATGAATGTTCAAAAGCTGATTGTGTTTACATAATATATGTGTATAAATATTTTGTATATATAAATAGACACACAATGCATGTATATATTTAAGAAAAATTTGTTATTTATATATAAAATATTTATATATAATCTAAATATACATACATGCAAATATTTCTTAAATATGTATACATGCTTGTTTGTGTATTTATATATACAAAATAATTATACACAGGACACACACACATATATTATGTAAACACAAACTTTATTTTGGATGCGTTTAATCATTTCCCAGCACTAATGTAAAACCGACAGAATATGCTCTGCCTGTTATAATATCCCCTGTGTTTTATTTGCATGTAGTACATGCACTCATAGATCATGTGTTTCTAACCTCGATTGAGCCCTGAAATCTGATTGGTTGATAGAAATGTTGAAGTTGAAGCACGTGTATTGACTCCCTGCTGTTTTCCCAGCCGGCCACTGTGGCGTTCCGGAGAGGATCGTGAACGGGCAAGTGATCGGAGAAAACTTCGGCTACAGGGATACAGTGGTTTACCAGTGTAATCCGGGTTTCCGGCTCATCGGTTCCTCTGTGCGAATCTGCCAACAGGATCACAACTGGTCCGGGCAGCTCCCGTCCTGTGTGTGTGAGTAACACGCAATGATACACACCGGGGGGGAACGTTTGGTTCATGTCCAAGAGGATTAGTTTGACATGTAATGCAGGCAAACCCTGAATCGGCTCATGACAGGCATCACACTCCAGTCCTGATGTTACCAGTGGAAACACCAACACTACCTGGTTTTGTGTGGGGGATTTGGACGTTTGCCTGGTTTTATCTGTGATGCCGAAAGCAAAGCTTCTTAGATAAATGCATAAATACATGGTGCATTTTAATTTCCCTCGGCAAGCATTGGAGACTCGATGGAAATATGCTAGCAGTCAAAAGTTAGGACACACTTGACTTAATGTTCATTATCTTAACAACCTTCTGACCTAGAAAACGTGGCTGCACAAATATAAATAATGATTTCAGATGAATTTGAACAGTGCAGTTCAATAATTTGAATAATTTGTTGAATAATTATGGACAAATAAATGTTTTTTTTACAAATGGATTTTTTTTTTAACAGTGTTTTTGTACAAAATACAAATACAGAGTCCCCTGTGGTGAAAATCAAGCTTTTAATATTGTTTATGTGGTGTTTTTAATTTGTTTTAAGACACACCATGTGTAAGTTCATAAGTCGACCGCATTGCTGAGTATATCCTGCTTAAAACTGCAGTGAACCAAAGACAGTCTCAAAAACACGGTTTGACATCGCTGGTGTTTCTGACGTCACAAACGACCTTGTAACCAATCAGATCAACGTGTGATCGTCAACCAGTGGATCTCTGAGTGAGTGAGTGAGTGAGTGGAGGCGGGGCTCATTTGCATATTCATAGAGCCGCGCATACTAAATGAGGCAAGGGTGTCGAGTTACATTCAAGATATTTTCAAGGAAAAAACATTTAAACATGTATCAAAGATGAGTTTTAAGGGATAAAATGATTGACTGCAGGGGGACTTTAAAGAATGATCTGGTTTATTCAAGCGTTTGACGGTCATTTTCCTGGTTTGTGTTTCAGCCGTTAGCTGTGGTCATCCAGGGAGCCCGATCTACGGTCGCACGGTTGGCGACGGCTTCAACCTGAACGACGTGGTGAACTTCTTCTGCAATAACGGCTATATTCTGGAAGGCCCGTCTCGAGCGCAGTGCCAGTCGGACCGCCAGTGGAGCCGCCAGCCGCCGACATGCAGAGGTTTGGACCCCATCCGCTCTGTTCTCACCGGAGGGTTTCACTTTATTTTGATGGTCCCTTTAACGCATTCTGTTGAAGTAACGTTGCACCTACATGTCTACCAACTCTCATTAGCATGTAGACTATAGACTAAACACGTGTCAGAGTTTTCACAGATTCGCGTTTTTGAAGTTTACGCGGAGATGATATCTGTGTTTATCTATGTTTCAAGGTTTGCGTTCTCGAGCACCAAACACTGTTGTTGTGCAAATGAGCATAAATGATGATCTTTGCAATGGAAGTGAATCAATCAAAACTAACTTTATCTGGACAATAACTTTATTCTAGAGCTGCTGTAAAGCCTAAACAATCTCTGTTACTGTAATCTCCTATTATCACTGTAAAGCTGCTTTGAAACGGTCTATATTGTTAAAAGCGCTGTATAAATGAAGCTGACTTGACAAGAGTGTTAGTAGACTGGTAGGGTTAGGGTTAGAATAAGTTGACATGTACTTGCAAAGTTACTTATAGTCAGTATAATGTCTGTTGGAGGAGCATCACAATAAAGAGTTGGCAGATGTTAATCGGAGAGTCTACTAATACTCTAATGAGAGTTAGTTGGCATGTAATTGCACAGTTACTTATAGTCAACAGAATGTTCAGAAGGGACCATCAAAATAAAGTGTTACCCATCGGAGGATTCCTACAACTATTGGCGGAAGATCCCAGAGTTTGGCACGTTCGCACCGCAGGAACTAGGAACAATTTTAGTTCTTGGAACTCCTTTTGGAGGAACTCATTTACTCCTACTCCAGAGTGCGCTATAGGAACTACAGTGACGTTAGTGTTCTCTGATTGGCCGAACGCACGCGATACACCAGCACCCGCCATTTTTGAAAAAGGCTGTGTAAACACACAGATTATAGCCTATATATTTACTCCAGAAACTAACTCTACGAACATGGAAAATCTCAGCCAATCAGAAGAGAGTGTGGGCGGAGTCTCTCTGCAAGCGCACTGCCCTCACAACCAAATCAATCACAAACCACAGCCAATCAGAAGAGTGTGTGGGCGGAGTCTCTCTGCAAGCGCACTGCACTCGCAACCAAATCACTCACAAACCACAGCCAATCAGAAGAGAGTGTGGGCGGAGTCTCTCTGCAAACACACTGCACTCGCAACCAAATCAATCACAAACCACAGCCAATCAGAAGAGTGTGTGGGCGGAGTCTCTCTGCAAGCGCACTGCACTCGCAACCAAATCACTCACAAACCACAGCCAATCAGAAGAGAGTGTTGGTGGAGTCTCTCTGCAAACACACTGCACTCGCAACCAAATCAATCACAAACCACAGCCAATCAGAAGAGAGTGTGGGCGGAGTCTCTCTGCAAGCGCACTGCACTCACAAGCAAATCAATCACAAACCAGAGATTATCATTGTCAGATTGTATGTTGTTGTTCCACGACATGGCAGAATAAGCATTTCTCCTTTACGCTGAGGAGAAAATCCAACGCAACTTTGAGGAGACCAAGAGAAACATGATTATGTATTTCTGCTCAGCAACAACCACATACCTTTTCATTACTGTCTACTTTCTATGTATAACAGTTCAATCTGATAACGTGTTAGACAGGACTGTTAGACAGATCGTAAACTAATGAACAGGAGAATGTGAGCGCTGTGTGTTCAGTCGTTCTCAGCGCCGTCAAAATAAAAGTCTCAACAACAAGCGTGTCTCATGCGTGTCTGGCGCTGCGAACGCAACCAGGAAAACGTTCCTATGGGACCATTAGCTCTCGGGGAACCGTGCTGGTGGCGAGAGAACTACCCGGTGCGAAAGCCCCTATTATAGCGAGAGTTAAACACTGTGGCGCTGATGGAAATGACTTCTGCTGCGGTTAAAAAAGAAATGACCAATCTCATCTCTGAGAGCCTCTGGCCCTGTTTCAGCCAGCAGAAGCTCATTCACTCGTGGGCTGAATAGCCACAGATTAGCCCTGCAAATCAGAAGATGAGATGTATGTTTTGAAGCTAATCTCTGCTTTGTTAGCGGCGTGATTATGAGTGTCTCTGAGGATCGGCTGGAGTGTTTGACTCTGACAACAGAACGCATGAAGAGATCAACAGTGATGATGGCTTGATTACATGACTGGAATGTGCTTTGCTCCAATAATAATGGACAAATGAATGGGTTATCTCACCGGATGGGTGAAGATGCTCTATTGTAATGCTGTTTTTTTGTTTTTACTTTTGTTATGCAGCAAGTTTACAATGATAAAATAGCTTAAGATTATTGTAAATATTTGTAACTGTTCAAAAAAACTTTTTATTTTTTTGAAAGAGTCTCTTCTGCTCACCAAGGCTGCATTTATTTGAGAAAAATTACTGTAAAAATTTTGAAATATTATTCTAATGTAAAATATCAGTTTTCTATGTGAATATACAGTAAAGTGTAATTTATTCCTGTGATCAAAGCTGTATTTTCAGCATCATTACTCCAGTCTTCAGTGTCACATGATCCTTCAGAAATCACTCTAATATGAGGATCTGATGCTCAAGAAACATTTATGATTATTATAAATGTTGAAAACTGGCTTTGCTGATTAATATTTTTGCGGAAAATGTGATACACTACCACCCTGTTTTTTTAATTTAGATGATTTAATTAATATAATTTAAATGTGTAATCATTTAAATAATTACTTTTATTCATGTAATCATTTAAATTAATACTTTTATTCAGCAAGCATGCATTAAATTGATCAAAAGTGACAGTAAAGTAATTTATAATGTTACAAAAGAGTTCTGCTTCAAATAAATGCTGTTCTATTGAACTTTTTATTAAAATATATTTATATATTCAGGTTTTTTTCATTTATATATATACAGTAGTCAACATTTGAAGTGGTTAAAAAAAGTTAATCAAAGTTGTCCTAAGACGAGAACAGGTATTGTTCAAAATTCATTTGATGTTTTGATGTTGACTACTGTATGTACAGTATATATATATTGCTGAAAATTCAGGTTTGATCTCAGGAATACATTTTACAATATATTCACATAAAAACAGTTATTTTACCTTGTAATAATATTTTACAAAAAAAAAAACATTAAAAAATCATACAGACCTCAAACTTTTGCACTTTGGTGTGTATATATATATATTAGGGCTGTCAAATGATTAATCGCGATTAATCACATCCAAAATAAAAGTTTTTTTACATAATATATGTGGGTGCACTGTGTATAATTATTTTATATATATAAATACACACACATGATTGTATATATTTAAGAAATATTTTCATGTATATACTGTATATAGATTTATATATAATTTATATTATATATAAATATTTTATATATAAATAATATTTTTTTCTTAAATATACATGCATGTGTGTGTATTTATATATATATACAAAATAATTATACACAGTGCACCCACATTTTATGTAAAAAAAACTTTTATTTTGGATGTGATTAATCACGATTAATCATTTTACAGCCCTAATATATATATATATATATATATATATAAACACAAATGATAAAATACATCTCCTCAAATACATTATTGTATTTTATTTATGAATGGTCGTGGCTTGCAACTCTGATTATACTTGTTCTGTTTGTGTTTTTCAGTCGTCAACTGCACTGATCCCGGTATTCCAGCAAACTCCATCAGGAAGAGCAAAATTGAGTACGGGAACTTCACTTTCGGGACCGTAGTTTCCTACGACTGCAATCCCGGGTATTACCTCTTCGGCTCCTCGGTCCTAACCTGCCAGCCGGTGGGATACTGGGACAAACCGTTACCAGAATGCCTGGGTACGTTGGTTTCGCTTCTCTCCCATCACTTTATTTCTCATTATTTCGACTTTTATCATTGCCAATCTTTGAACTCTCTCCATCCGAGAGGCGATGGTAAATGTCACAGGTTGGCCAACACGCAGTCGAGTGCGACGTTCTCAAAGAGCTCTCATGACGGAGACTTCTTTGTCTGTGTGAAAGCTTTCAAAGTTTCCCGCAGTGGACAGCAGTGAATCTAACACACCTTTTCTACAGTTTGCCAAAGCGAGGAGTATTAAGGTCAAGAGCACATTCATTAGAGAGACGTGTTCATTTGCCTGTGAGAAGGTAATTGCCTCCTGCTCTCGCTTTCCATCTCTGTCCCTGTAATTGCTTCAAACCTGAACTTGATCGTTTCTTGTCGGTTTGCAGGCGAGATGCTTACACCGAGCGTGAAGGAAAGGCAACAATCCTGCTCGCTGTCTATTAGTCTTGATTTTCTCTCAAGTGTACACAGGGTAATTCTGCACTTTACTTAGTCGACAGAGGCTACTTGGGGATTTTAATAAGCAGCCTCTTTTCCCCCGTCAGCCTTTCAGCCTGATGAATATTATGGAAAATGTGCACCTCTTCGGTTTTATTCGGGTGCATTTACAATTCAAAAGAAAGCAAACATCAAAACCAGGCCTGAAAAGAAGCTTAGCTATTAAATTGAAGAGCTTATGTGTGTTTCTTCAGCAGCGCACGAGAGATGAATTAATGCTGTTAAGATGTGAACAACTACACACTACGCAAATCTGAACGCCTGTATAGTTCATTTGGTGACACTTTACAATAAGGTTCATTTATTAAACATGAACTCACAATGAGCAATACATGTGTTACTGTTTTTGTTCATCTTTGTTAATGTTAGTTAATTAAAATACAGCTGTTCGTTGTTTGTTCATGTTAGTTCACAGTGCATTAACTAATGTTAACATGATTTTAATACAGTGTTAGTACAGCCAATCAGAAGAGCGTGTGGGAGGAGTCTCTCCAAGCACACTGCACTCACAACCAAATCATTAACAAACCACAGCCAATCAGAAGAGAGTGTGGGCGGAGTCTCTCTGCAAGCGCACTGCACTCGCAACCAAATCAATCACAAACCACAGCCAATCAGAAGAGCGTGTGGGAGGAGTCTCTCTGCAAGCGCACTGCACTCGCAACCAAATCAATCACAAACCACAGCCAATCAGAAGAGAGTGTGGGCGGAGTCTCTCTGCAAGCACACTGCACTCACAACCAAATCATTAACAAATCACAGCCAATCAGAAGAGAGTGTGGGCGGCAGGGGCGGATCTACCGGGGTGGCATAGGGTGGCAAATGCCACCCTAAAAGAAAGCCTTGCCACCCCTGCTGCCACCCCAGTTGGCGGCAACGAATTAAAAGTTATGGCCAATTTGACAATTTACGAACGCGAATCTCCAATGTCCGACTGCAGTGAATTCGCTCCGTGCATAATATGACGACCGTTGACGTTCGTACTTTATTGTGTGGGCAAATACTTCCGGTGATCTGACCGCGAGAGCGGGAGACAGCGAGAGCAAGAGACAACAGCGACCGAGTTCCATTACCAGAGAGATAAGTTTTCAACCCGACCAAATTTTTAAATGCATATATCATTTTCAGTGTATTTCACCTGTGCGTTTCTATGCTTTATATTACTGCATTTATTTTGTGCAAGTGAGATGAGTAAAGAACATCTGTTTCATATATCATTATCTGTCTGGTGTTTATAAGCAGTAGCCTACAGTATTTTACTACGTGTAAAATATACACAAACTTAGCTATATTAAGTTGTTTGTGTACAGTTAAAAATATAAATGTAAAATATGTGATAATAATATTGATCGAGCAATTGATGTAAGTAAGTAAAAATACATGCGCAGAATTAAGAAAATATTATTTAATATTTATGGAGATACATTTTAGCCTATGATAAAGCAAACGTGTGAATGTTCACAGGGTTATTTTATTTAATATTATAACTATTATTATATAGTAGTGTAATGTAGACAGACACTATATCACAACTAAAAAGAGTTTTGAGTTTTTTTTTTGTTCAATTTGCACACTGAATATGGGTTGGAGCTCTTTATTTTGAACTCTCAAAGTGCACCAGATTGATGAATTTAACATTAAAAAGCACAAAATTTTCTTACGGGGGAGCATGCCCCCGAACCCCCCTAGAGGGACAGAGGTGCACTCTGCACTCACCACAGATTTCCATGGAAAAAACCGGTATGCAGCTTATAGCTTGTTTTAGGATTCATCACTGTGGAGTATAGTTCAACTGAGTATAGTTCAACTTTTAGTATAGTTCAACCCCCAACCCCCCCCCACACACACACACACACACACAAAACAGATACAAATAATGCCCTTTTGTAGTGTGTTACACATACGATTTCTCATCAAACTGTGTTAACTGTGATTAAATTCAGTATATATACGTCTGCCATGTTGCCACCCCTCAAAAATTCCTGCCCCCCTCTTGCCACCCCATAAATATTTTCCTAGATCCGCCCCTGGTGGGCGGAGTCTCTCTGCAAGCACACTGCACTCGCAACCAAATCAATCACAAACCACAGCCAATCAGAAGAGAGTGTGGGCGGAGTCTCTCTGCAAGCGCACTGCACTCACAACCAAATCACTCACAAACCACAGCCAATCAGAAGAGAGTGTGGGCGGAGTCTCTCTGCACGCACACTGCACTCACAACCAAATCAATCACAAACCACAGCCAATCAGAATTCTTTCACGACGTGGCAGAAATAGAAACTTTTCTAAAATCGAATCACTGGCTAGGACACAAACTCTGATTAGCTGATTAACACGCCTTGCATTTCTACTAAACTATAAAGTTCATGGTAGCAGTGGCTGTTTGTTTGAAAAGATGGCTCCTCTTATTGGGAAAAAATCGCTATTTCAGAGCAAAAATATAGAGATTTTGTCTTTTAACTATACCTTCCAGACACCTATCAAATACATTATGGATGCTAAGCAAAGTGTGTCAGACAGATATCCAATAAATAAGCTTTTGTTGTGCAAAAAATATCATAGTCCTCAGAAACAAAAGGATTATGCATGATAATTTGAACATTGCTCACAGCAGGAAAGTCCCACAGTAATTGTGTTGTTGCTGAAGACAGAAAAGCAGGGCTGAATTTAGAGATGTTTTCTCTGAAATCTTGCAAATGTTACGTATTGTACGAGGTCCTTTTCCTCTTTGCTAAACTTCACCCACGCAGAACTTGTTGTTGGTGAACTTGCGAGAGGGTTAAAGCCAGACCCACGCAAAACCTGCAGACCTTCACATTCACACTGATGTGAAACACCAATCATTGACAAAGTCAAGTCGAGTTGCATTGTCATTCGGCCATTTTGTATCTTTCTTTTTTCAGGTTTACCACCATTTTGTAAATGCTAGTGTTTTAACAACATGTAATGTAAACTTGAATTATGAATTTGATTTTATACTATAAATAACTCTCAGCATAAAGTCCCCCTGTGGTGAAAATCAAGCTTTTAATATTGTTTATGTGGTGTTTTTAATACGCTTTAAGACACACCATGTGTAAGTTCATAAGTCGACAGCATTGCTGAGTATTTCCTGCTTAAAACTGCAGTGAACCAAAGACAGTCTCAAAAACACGGTTTGAAATCGCTGGTGTTTCTGACGTCACAAACGACCTTGTAACCAATCAGATCAACGTGTGATCGTCAACCAGTGGATCTCTGAGTGAGTGAGTGAGTGGAGGCGGGGCTCATTTGCATATTTATAGAATCGCGCATACTAAATGAGGCGAGGGTGTCGAGTTACATTCAAGACATTTTAAGACGTCTCATTTTGGTGATCAAAGATGAGTTTTAAGGGATAAAATGATTGACTACAGGGGTCTTTAAACAGTAAAGCTAGAAGAATCAATCGTAGTAAGTGCCTGATGTGTATCTCCTACAGAGGTGGACTGTGGTCACCCTGGATCTCCTCCTCATGCCGTCGTGACGGGAGAGAAATTCACCTTCGGATCTACAGTTCACTACAGGTGTTTAGAAGACCGAGCTCTGATTGGTGAATCCACTCGCTCCTGCCAGCTGAACGGCCAATGGAGCGGCTCGCAGCCACACTGCTCAGGTAAGACACACCTCTTCTTACTTACACTGGAACGTAAAGGCTTAGTAACTACTAGCTACTCCGCTGCACCATTTCCAGAAAATAAAATGCCGTTTACCTTCAATGATCCAATAGCAGTTGAGTTTAAACGCATTCTGACTTCTTTCGCCTCGCTTAAATATCGATAAAAATACGTTTCCATAGTGACTCTTAATCACAAATAACAATATGTATTTTTAGATGTAAATAACATTCGGAAACTGTATTTGAGATCATTAGGGGATCATTAGGGATATTACATTTGTTTATTATGAATGATTTTACACTGCTTAACTATTTATTTATTTGTTTATTAATCAACATGCCAATTCATGCTAGCTAACATGTTAGGATCATGCTAGCAATGTGTTAAAACATGCCAGATTAATGCTGAAAACGTGTTAGGATCATGCTAGCAATGTACTAAAATATTCTAACAATGCATTAAAACATGCAAGGTTCGTGTTATCAACATGTAATTTAATATTAATCATGCTAGAAACATGTTAGAAAAATGCTAAATCATGCTAGCAACGAAATAAAACATGTTGGTAAAACATGCTAGACAAATGCTAAGACATGTTAGCAACATGATAACACATGCTAGGAAGCTTATAAAACTTTCAGGCTTTGTCAAGCCAACATAAAAGTTTGTCCCGACGAACTTCACTTTCTTCTAGCTAATTAGTGTATTAAGGAATAATTGACTCTGGACTCTGCGTTATTGAAAATGTATGAACATGCCAGTGTGACCATGACATGAGGTGGTGTGCATTATTTTTCATGAGTTGATTATCATGCTTATACCAGGGTTATATTTTTAGATTCCTAAAACTAGTTTCTTGCGCATCTTGAAGACGCAGAAGCAGTTGCTGCTAGTTTACAGCAGTCCTTCAGGCTCGTGTGGAGGCTTGTGCTGTTTCTATGCAGTTTTTAAGTCAAGTCACATGTATTTATTTTATGAAACCAATTCAATTTCAGCGATAAGCATCTCTACAGAAGATAATATTTTCATTATTATTATTCACGGTTGATCCAGTTCAATAACAGTGTCTATGTTGTGAAGTTCGTGTCATTATCCAGCAAAATTCAGTTCAAATGTTGTTCTCATCTTACAGTATGTGCAGTTAAACCGATAATATTACTGAATATTAATTGTATTTTAAACCAGAGAGAGAGAGAGAGAGAGAGAGAGTATGCATGTGTGTTGTGCAGTCACTTCTCTACAAAAGCAGCATTAGTTGAGCTAAGCTTCTCCGTGGCTCGGCGCTAACATCGCTAGTCTTGACGACTGTATTGATTGAGAAACATCAAGCTCTGTGTTTGTGGAAGACTGAGACAGCGAGAGAAAGAGACTCTGCTTTCCATGGATATTAAAAGTAATTTCAGAAATAAATTGAAATTGTCATTTGTTGTTTGGCCAGTGATGTTGTGTTGTTCTGGCTGGTTTGCTGTTTGTGGACTGTGAGGCTCTTTGAAAGAACTGAAATTAATATAAAGAATATAATCCATTACAGTGATTTCACCACGGTTTATTGTTGATGTTATGTCATGTTATTGTATTTAGTGTTGTCATGTCATGTCGTTACATGTTGTTATTATGTTATAACATGTTGTTGTTATGCTGTTATGTCATGTCATTTTGTTTTGTGTTGTGTCATTATGTCATGTTAAGTTGTGTTGTGTTATGTCATTTTATTTTGTGTATTTCATGTTGTCATGTCATGTTGTTATATTATGTTATGTTATGTCATGTTATTGTATTTAGTGTTGTTATGTCATGTCGTGTCATGTCATATCATGTTATGTTATGTTGTTATATGTTATATTATCTCATGTTATAATATGTTGTTGTTGTTATGTCATGCCATTTTGTTCTCATTATGTCATGTTAAGTTGTGTTGTGTTATGTTATATGTCATGTTAAGTTGTGTTGTGTTATGTTATATGTTATGTTATGTCATGACATTAGATCATGTCATGCTGTGTTATATTATATTATGTTATTTTATTAAAATATGTTGTTGTCGTGTTATGTCATTTTATTTTGTGTATTTCATGTTGTCATGTCTTGTTATATTATGTTGTTATGTTATGTCATGTTATTTTTGTGTTGTGTTTTGTTGTTATGTCATGTCATAACATTAGATCATGTCATGTTATGTTATAGTATGCTTTTAGGTTGGTATGTTGTTGTCACGTAATTTTTTTGTGTATTTCATGTAGTCATTTTGTTTGCACGTCATATCATGTTATGTCATGTTATGTTTAATGTTGTTACGTCATGTCACGTTTTGTCATTTTAAGTTATGTTATGTTATATGTCATGTTATGTCATGTTATGTATTTTGTTATGTCATGTTATGTTATGTTATAATGTTATGTCATGTTATGTTATGTTAATCTGTGAAAGAACTGAAATGAATATGTAGAATATGATCATTAGAGTGATTTCAAGAGATTTTTTATTGTTGATGTTGTCATGTTATTGTATTTAGTGTTGTTATGTTATGTCATGTCATCTCATGTCGTTATATGTTGTTATCTTATGTTATGTTATATGTTGTTGTTATGCTGTTATGTCATGTCATTTTGTTTTGTGTTGTGTTATGTCATTATGTCATGTTAAGTTGTGTTGTGTTGTGTTGTGTTGTGTTATATGTTATGTCATGACATTAGATCATATCATGTTGTGTTATGTCATGTTATGTTTTATTATGTTAAGTCATGTCACGCTTTGTCATTTTAAGTTATGTTATGTTATATTATGTTATGTATTTTGTTGTTATGTCATGTCATGTTATGTCATGTTATGTTAATAATCTGTGTTATGTTAATAATCTGAAATTAATTTGTAGAATATGATCATTAGAGTGATTTCAGGAGATTTCAGGTGCTCTTCTCCACGGTGTGTGTAAAACCGGCATGGCTGAAGGCCTGGAGGGAAACAAATCATTCCGTTTTCTCCATTTAATAAAAGCTTCTCCCTTTCTCGTGGTAAAACCACAGTAACGCACGGCGGCTCGTGGCTTATTGCTTTCAGATATTACGCAAGTCCTTTGTATCTGCTTGTTCAGGCTTCTACTTGTGTCGGAAAGAGAAATCATGCATTTGAATGAACACACTGTTGAGTGAAGCTCATCTCTGTCTTGGGTCGTATTTCCTGTCATGATGTGTCAGTCTTACATGAGTTAATTAAGTTCAGCTGAATAATGACGTCTGTCTCTGCGTGACACATACACCGTTTCTTTCTCCTGACTCGCTGTCTGTTTGAGTCCAACTAACATGCACAGTTCTTCTTTTAAAGAATAGTTCAGCCAGTAATGAATCGGTCATCGTTACTCGTGCCAAACCTGTGAGGCTTTACTGTGCAGTTTATATTGACCAAGAACTAAAGATACACAGTGCAAGCAGTCAAATATATTACAAGTTTTCTGAGATCATGGGAAAACTGACACAATGCATCTTCACATGCCAAGATTAAATATCAAAAATACTAAAATTACATTTTACAATATACAGTCAAACCAAGATGTATTCAGACTCCTTCAACATTATCAGTTTATTCGTGAAAACGGTGATAAATATGAGCAGAACTCAGTTCTCAGATCAGTGGATATTTGACTGGTTTTGTCCGTCCTTCTGTTAGACTCTCACACATGAATTATGTTGAATATCTGTCAGCTGGTAAATTTAACTACACAATTAGATAATACCAGTTTAGCTCAACCAGTGACCAAGCAATGCTTCATGTTGTTCAGTGTGTGTGTAAAAAGAGCATTAGCAATTACAGAAAACACACTTCAGCAGAACATGATCAGCTCAAAGTGGAGGAATCATTATTGCTCCTAAATTTGTATAAATTTTACACTGTATGAAGAACATTTGGGTGTAATATGTCACACTTTACTTTATTTTGCTCTCCTCACTTACATAAATGAACTATAGTGTCCTGATCACACTAGTGAAACAATATCAAAAATTATAATAATTTGTGGTTTGACTGTACAAAACAGAACAGCTATATTAAATTGTAATAATATTCTACAATATTTCTGTTATTAACTTTTTTTTAATCAAATATTGGTGCGCCTTTCTTTCAGAAAGATATAAAATCTAAATGTTAGTGTTTATATGCAGACACACACACACAGAAAGAGAGATAGTGTGCATTTAAACTCACACACTCCTCTCCACGAGTCACTCACTCTTTTATAAATAATTTTGGATTTATCTAATCTACATTAAGCACATTTATCTTTCTCATACTGTACAGCATGTTACATGTTTGTTTCTCTGAAGGAATTTCCGGAGACGCATCAGAGATGCCGTGTACACCTCAGTGAAGCAGAGCTCAAACCCTCCTGAGCGACCTATCACGTTCCTCAGGCGATCTGTGTGTTTCTTCTCTTCGCTATTCTGTGTGAACATGTTCTGCTCTTCTCTGGAGGTTTGATGCTGAGACTGTGCTCTAGGTTTGTGGGATATTCCACTGGGAATCCAGTCTCTCGATTGCTGGAGATTTTAGGAGGTTTGCGACTCCATGGGTTAGACAGTCCGGTTTCAGTTTAAAGCCTTAAAGCCATGTTGTTCTTTAAGATAAGAAAACCCCACGTCCCCTGGAGCGCCTGAGTGAGTGTGTGTGTGTGTGTGTGTGTGTGTGTGTGTGTGTGTGTGTGTGTGTGTGTGTGTGTGTGTGTGTGTGTGTGTGTGTGTGTGTGTGTGTGTGTGTGTGTGTGTGAGTGAGTTGTCAAAAGACAAAAAGTCATCTATAAAAAGTTATAAAATGTGGATTAAAAGCTAAATCAATAGTGTTCTGCACTGCCAGGTGAATCAGAATTTCTTATGTAACGAACTTCACAGCCTTATTATTCCCCGCTAAGCTGCTGGTGGGCGACTTTAACCCGATTCACACCTCACTGCTGTGCCAATTAATGCCAACTCTATCCGTTCAACAGCTTCACCTCTGAAGAAGAATCTAA